TGCCATTTGACAAGATCAGAGTTGATATGATTGTGGCCTCTAAATTCTTATCTACCTCATACTTTTTAACTGACTTGTTGTAAATTTCTAAATCAGCCTTCGGCCTTACGAGATCATCCCACTTCACCTAATCTTGACTCATCTGCTGCTGAAAACCTCATTCACAGCTTGTTACCTCTAGATTTCACTATTCCAATGCATTCTTGGCTAGTCTCCCACGCTCTGCCCATCCGTTATTTGAGGTCATCTGTAGTGCTGGCACTTACATCTTAATTCTCACCAAGAACCATTCACCTGTCAGACCTGTCCTCTTTGACCTACATGGCCTCTTAGTTAAGCAATTGTTCAATTTTAAAATTTCCTATCCTCATTTTTAAACTTTGCACTGGCCTCATTCTTCTCTGTAAACTCATCCAGTATTACAACTCTTTGAAAATCTATGTGCTCCTCAAATACAGGCCTCTTGAGCATCCCTGATTTCCATTGCTTCAACATTGGCTTTGTGCTTTCAACTGCCAAGCATCCAAGCTCTTCAATTCCTTTTCCAAGCTTCTCACTTCTCTCTCCTTTAAAATGTGCTCTTGAAAACCTAACTCTTTAACCAAGCATTTTAGTACACTGGCATAGCAATCCATCTGTCACTCATTGTCACATTTTATTTTCCAAATTTCCTGTGAAGCCGTTTGGGATGTTTTACTATGTGAAAGCTGCTATATAAATACAAGTTGTCGCTTTGTCTGCACTGAAGACAGACACTGACATTTTTAAAAATTTATTTTCCAAAAAGAACAATTACAAAATAAGTTTCAAAACGAAAAAAAAACTGGATTAGATTCTCCATTTCCCACGTGTTGTTCATTTGTGAAGAATCTTGCACTAATGAAGAAATGAGTTTTAAATTAATGATCATGCAAAAACCTTTCTTTTGTGTAATTTCAAGTCGGCTTGCAGGAAGTAACAAACAGCTCATGGGATGTTGTTAAGGTAATATCTGTGCCGTGACTCCTATTGAGAAACAACCACAATCCTATGTCTAATTCTGAGCAGAGATGATGAGTCTGCGGTGGATGTGTAGGCCACTGTGCATTATTACTCACGGTACGAGTTTGAAGTGTCACAGCGCGTACCAAAAGTAATAATGGACTGTCACCAACGTTCATTTCTTTATCCTTTCTCACGTGAAACAAGTTTTGGTCTGAAATAATGTACTGGCAAAACCTCTTGAACCTTTGCAGGAGAATATTTGCTTTGGGCTCTTTAAGCACTGCTTCTGAATTCAGCATCAAGAGCCCACATTAGAGATATAATCTATGCATCAATGAATCCAAATCTGTTGAAAAAGTCTTTCGGACAAATGCTAGATATGAAAGCATGTGAGCTTTTCATAGATCTCCTATTATACATTAAAATATGAATAATGTATTATTCTGGGTTGCAGATTTACTCAGTCATTTGCAAATATTTGTGCACGTTTCTGGATTTGCTCATGCCAGCCTCCAAGGCCAGATGAGAAGAGAACCCAGAGCTGGGATTCTAAAGCCAGCAATCAAAGACATCAACAATTTAAAAGTTGGTTGCCCTTGAACTGAAGGCATTGTTGCTAAATTTGCAGGTGGCACAAAGGTAAGTGGAGGGACAGGTAGTGTTGAGGAAGTGGGGAGGCTGCAGAAGCACTTGAACAGGCTAGGAGAGTGGGCAAGAAGTGGCAGATGGACTACAACATGGGAAAGTGTGAGGCTCTGCACTTTGGTAGGAAGAATAGAGGCGTGGACTGTTTTCTAAACAGGGAAAGCCTTCAGGGGTCTGAATCACAGGATTCTCTTAAGGTTAACGTGCAGGTTCAGCTGGCAGTTAGGAAGGCAAATGCAATGTTAGCATTTATTTCAAGAGGGCCAGAAAACAAAAGCAGAGATATGCTGTTGAGGCTGTACAAGGCTCTGGTCATACCGCATTTGGAATATCGAGCAGTTTTGGGTCCCATGTCTAAAAGAAAGATGTTCTGGCATTGGGATGGGAGGTGGGATTCAGTTCCTTCAGTGTCACTGGGTCAAATTCCTGGAATTCCCTCCCTAATGGCGTTATGGGTCAACCTACACAGGAGGACTGCAGTGGTTCAAGGCAGCAGCTCACCACCACCTTCTCAAGGGCAACTAGAGACAGGCAATAAATGCTGGCCAGCCAGCTATGCCCACACCCCATGAAAAGAAAAATGGGGACCAATATCCTAATGGAAAGGATAGGCAGTCCTGTGGATAGCAGGTAAAAAACAAGCAAGATTTAATTATTTCAAAATAATCTGTAAAGTAAGTAGGAGTGGAGGGATCTGGCTACGTATGCATAAGTCATTCGTCGTAGTAGGACAGATGAACAGAGGAGTTAATGAAACATACAGAATCCTGGGCTTTATTAACAGGGATACAAGAGCAAGGAAGTGATGTTGAACTTGTGTAAGTCATACCTCAGCTGGAGTTTGTGTATAGATCTGAGTGTCTCATTTTAGAAAGGATATGAATGTATTGGAGAAAGTACAGAAGAGGTTTACAAGATTGGCCTCTAGGATCAGAAATTTCAGTTACCAAAATACATAAGAAAGGATAGAGACTTGAAGAGGCCTGAAATCAATGTTCTGAACTGAGGGAAAGCTGGTTTTAATAAGATCCAATATGATTTGGCCAGACTGGACTGGGAGCAGATACTTTTTTGGTAAATTTGTGTCTGAACAATGGGGCATATTCATGAAGGAAATAAGAAGAGTACCACAGATGTCCTATGGTACATCTTGTACAGATATGAAGTTAGGCATAATGCCAGCAGTTATATTTATAGCTACAGCCTCAAACAGATGTATTACAAAACCAATTAAATGTATGCAAATGTGAGACCTTATATACAGTGAAATGTCACCTATGCCACCAAAGTACCCCGAAAAGCATTTAGTTTTCTGTCCCTACTTCCAAGATAAAGGTGGAACCAACAAATCCAGTGCACTCTGGATGTCAAGGGAAATACACGATTCAATTAAAAAAGGGCTAATAGCAGAAACTGAGAGCTCAAAACAGCAGAATATCTAAAGCAGCATAAAATGTGCAAAAGAGAACTCAAACAGGAAATTAGGGGAGTGACAAAGGCGCATGAAAGGATAATGGCAGGTAAAAAAAGAAAATCCTAAGTTAGTTTACAAGTTCATTAAGGGTAAAAGGTTAACTAGGACAAAGTAGGGTCCATTAAAAAGCATAGCGGTAATTTGTGCAAGGAGCTGGAGGATATAAGTAAGTTCTAAATGAATACTTTGTATTGTTGTTCGCTAGTGTGATGGACAATGTGAGTACGGAAATCAAGGACATAGGCTGTGATATAATGAAAGAGGCGGTTCTGAGCAGTTTGTTAGGTTTAAAAGTAAATAAATCTCCAGGGCCGGATGAAATGTGAACCAAGCTGATGAAGGAGACAAGGGAGAAAATCGGGCCCTGGCAATCATTTTCTATTCCTCTCTGGCCGCAGGAGAAGTGGCCATTGTGGAACAATTATACAAGAAGGTTGGAAGACAAACCAGGAAACTACAAGCTAGTCAGTCTAACCTCATTTTGAACTAAACACTTTTGAACACAGGCTAGGAAAGAACAAGGATGTTGTAGGACAGGACCAATGGTGTCAGCAAGAACCATTGCTCTGTATACATCTTGTTCCTCTTGCTTCCACTTACTGCAGCAGCATCTGAAACGCAGATATTAATCTATGGTACATCCTGTATGGAAGTTAGGCATTATGCTGGCACAGTTACATTTAGAGCTACAAACATTCAAACAAATAAATGTATTACAAAACCAATAAAAAATGTATGCAAATGTGAGACTTTATATACAATGCAATGTCACCCATGCCAGTAAAGTGCCTTCAAAAGGATTTTATTTTCTCTCTCTAACTCTACATCTCAATGTTGTCCCAGTTTCTGCGGCATGGGTGGAGGGAGCCTGCTCAGCAGCTTAGCCTGTTGACCCTGGAAGTTTTGTCAGGTGACCCTGGGAGCACTGGATTGACCAGACATGCTGAGGGTCTTCTGGCCAGAGGCAGGTAGACCTTTTTTGAGTTCAGCTTCCAAGGGTCAGAGGGGTCAGGTAGGATGGAGGTGCTGACCATCTTTTGATTATCTTGAGTATTTTTGAGGGACCTCTGTATGGGTTCCTCCTCTGTCCGGGTGCCTCCTAGTACACCCTGTCTCCCTGCCTCTCCAGCATACACAGAGGGTAGCTGGACCTGGGTGTGGCAAGTACCTGTCTGTCTATGGAGACAGCCAGTCAGTTGCATGACTCGCTGTAATACTGCAGCTTCTGGGCAATGAGGGCCATCATGTCCCACGTACCTGTCTGTTGCTCCTATTGCCTTCTTTGCATGTGGACAAAGTCTCTAATTGCCAACCCCCACAGAGAAAAGGTGGAGCAGAAGGCAGGCATTGCAAAAGAGTGGGAGATTTCAACATCAAGTTTGTCATTATTCTGAAAGCCAAGGAGAACATTTTGGAACAGTTTACACAGTAGAGATACACTCCAAGGAAGAGAATGAAGATGGCTGCTTATGCCAACATCAAAGAGACTCTGCTAACAGGGCTGAAGGCATTCTGAGCAGAGAACCTGCCCATCTTTGACCTAATCCTGCAGGAAACTGGAGTCATGTTGAAGAGGCTGGCTCACAAGGAGTTCACCTGCAAGGACTGATTGAAAACAAGGCCAGGCACCATCTGTTATAAAGTACATACCTTCTATTATGACAGCAATGACAGTTGTTTGGTATTTCTGTCATAATTTATCAGAATTTTGACAGTCATCAATAACCTGTTTGAGTAAAGTTCTATTTTATTGTCCTGTCTCTTGGCACACCTTTATTACGCATTCAGATTAATTTTTGCATCTTCTGTGCAGCCCATCTGCATCGAACTACTTCACTTGTTCTTACCTGTTGCAGCACAACCAGAATATCTCAGATAGTTGCTCTTCCCATGCCCTTTACATTACCTCCAGGATTCCGGCTTTCCTCACCACCCATTCATAATCCACACGACTGTTCTCAGAGATATAATTCATAAACAAGAAGTCATCTTACATGAATAAATAACTAATATTTAAATCTTCCTATGTATTACCACCATTTTCTGCTTCCAATTCAATCTGACAACCTGTCCAAAAATTGAGGGTTGGATCAGTCACAGTCTTATAAAGTTCAATACAAACAATTCTGATTTGGTTTTCACCAGCACCTCATGTGATTCTGACATCAATTCCACCAACCTCCCTGGCTGTTTCTTAAGGACATTGATCACATGAAGAAAGACTTGAGAAATTAGGAAGGACAAGGCAATATGGCTGTGCATGGGTGATAATAACCAAAGTGAGGCAGGAGGAACAAAGTACAAACTTAAGAGTATACCCGAAGGTAAGGTCAGAAAAACAATAAAAAGGACAGAGTTAAAAAGTTCTGATCCGCAGCATTCGTAACAAATTAATAGCACAAACAGAAAGAAATAAGTATAATCTGATAGGGTATTTCAGAGAAATGGTTTCATTGTAATCAAGACTTAGATTGGAATATTATACACTTTGACAGTATTTTGGAAGGACAGGAAGAAAGGAAAAGATGGTGAGGTACCTCTGTTTTAATGGATGAGATTAATATAGTCATAAGAGATTACCTTGATCAGAAGAGTAAGATAGAGAATTAGTTTGTGGATATTAAGAAATAGCAAAAAAAGAGTTACTTGTGGAAGTATTTTATAGGTCCCTGAACATTAGTTGGATTAAAGGGCAGAGTATACATGAATAAATAATTAGGGGCTTGCTAAAAGTGTACTACAATAATCATAGGTGATTTTAATGTTCATATAAAATGGGCAAAAGAAAATCAGGAAGAAGAGGTCATAAAGTTTAGTCAATTTCTTAGACCAATAAGTTTTAGAGTCAGTCAATCAGGGAACAGGCTATTTTGACCCTGGTCAAGTAAAATGAGACTGGATTAATTAATGTTTTCATAACAAATGGAGCTTCCAGACAACAATAATCATAACATAATAGAATTTCACATTCTGCCTCAGAGTAAGAAACATAGACCGATGACCAGTGTCTTAAGTTTAAATAAAAACAAGGAATGATAATAAAGTTGGTTAAAGTGGACTGGTGAAATAGTTTAAATGTAGGACAGTTGAGAAAGTGTAGCAAATATTTAAGGGAATATTTCATACCTCAAAAGATATATTCCAATCAGAAAGAAAAATGATAACAAGGATGCACTATTCATAGCTAATTATAAAAGGTCAAGGATTGTATCAAATTGAAAGAAAATGCATGCAATACTTGCAAGATTTGTTGTAGGTCAAACAAATATCGGGACATTTCGTCTGAGAGTTTGTAGACTTTGGTGATGCCTGAACTTTTGAATGTATCCATGAAGGAGTAAAACATATTTTTGTTGAACCAGGGAGTCAAGAGGCAGACAGGGCAGCAATGAAAATGGAGTTAAGGCCACAATTTGATCAACCACGATTGCACTGACTAGCAAAGCAGGCACTAGGGACCAAAAGGCCTACTCTTGATCCTAATTCTTATGATTTTATGCTCCCTAAAGGATTAGGACCTAGAAAGTGAATCTCACACAATCCTGGGTCTCCATTCTCAATGACATGTACCTACTGTACATGGTCAACAATGGTTCAAGGAGGCAGCTCACCACCACAAGGCAATTAGTATTGTCAATCAATGTTCACTCAGCCAGTGATGTCCACATCCCGTGAATGAATTTAAAAATCTGTAGCTGTTTTATGCCTGCAAAATAAATGAAATGGGAATAAATTTTGGAAACAAAAATCTCACAGTTAAAAGGACAACCTAGAAGCCATCAGATCTGAAGTTGGGTGAAGCCATTTCTCAGGCAAACCCTTAGATTTGTTTAAAATAGACTTTAAGCTCTTGCATATGTCAATTAAGGTGTTAACATACGGGTATTTGTGGCAGTTAGTCTGCTGTACTCAGCATTCAAACAGTGACTGCCACCAAAAAAGTGTTATTAGAAGTATTCTGTGAGGCATGAACCTACAATGAATCTGATTTGCCACTATGGGATTGTTACCATTGAGACAAAAGGTCACTCTGAAAATGCAATGCATCCCCACAGCTCAACTCATGTTACTGAGGCCAAAGCCTCTTTAAGGTTTGGTCTCAAACCTTCTGTTTAGATTTGTCTGTGAACCACTGGGCATTCATCACAAAAGTAGGACATGATACTCTAGAACTATTTTTTTGTCAATCTTCTGCTTTTGTCCACCTCTTCTCTATACCAGATTGTATCAGTTGCTGAAAATCGTTCTGCTAAACCATGCTAGAAGAAGCAATCTGAATTGTAATGATTAGGGTGTACCAGAAGTGTTATTATTGTTGCATAACAGGCAATTAATGAAACTGTACTCTGGACCTGGATATTGGGCAAGGTTAAAATCATTGATAAATGGTTTACCCAATTTGCTAACAAATCGTATCAGTAATATCTGATAATAAACAAGCTTTGCCACTCTGAACATTGAGAATCACCGTCAGCTCCAAGTATCGAAACTATATTCCTCTGACAGTTTCAGTTCCATCGTTCCTCTATCCAAGTTTTTGTGATATGATCCTTAGTGAGAAATACTGGTGTCCTGCAAACAATTTTAAACACAAGAAAATCCATTTAGCCAATCATTTTTTTTCCATCCAGAGCCCAGCTCCTAACTCCCCACAAACCCCAACCCCATAATTTGTAAATTTACTTACAACAACCATCAGAACCCACCAACCCAACTCCCACAAATATATTAGACGCATTAATAATTCCTTGTTGTGGGAAGCTATTTGACAATTTTTTTGGATCAACACTGTTTCAAATACTTCATTATGATGAAAGCTCATGAATCTTGAACTTGAATTCTATTCAGAAAATTCACTGCAACATGATATTTCTAAACAAGAACTCCATTGATGACTGACTCAAACCTGAGACGGAGAGCCAATTGGATGAAATATATCTTGTGTCACTGAATGCACTAAAGGAAATAAAAACAGAGGATTTAGAATCCCTACCTCCGGATGAAGAGCCATGGGTTTAAGTCCCACCTGATTTAGATGTGTGTAAAAACATCTCTGAAAGTGTTGATTTGAAAATATCACCATGAGCTTTTAAAAAGTTCTTTCATTGATATATGAATGTTGCTGGTTAGACTAACATTTGTTTGTTGCCCTTTCTAATTAACTTTGTAAAGGTAGTGGTCTTGAATTGCTTCAGAGCTTGGAAGGTTAGCACACGCATAGTCATGGGAGGCAGTTCCACAATTTTGACCCAGTAACAATGAAGAGCAGTACAGTTATAAGTCTGGATGACAATTCAGAATATAAGGCTATAAGATATAGGGGAAGAAGCCCAATGAGTCTGCTCTGGCAGTCGATCATAGCTGATTCTCCTGTCTTCTCCACATAATCCTTGATCCCCTTACTAATCAAGGACTTGTGTCTTAAGTATACTCAACGACTTATTGCCACAGAGAGCTGGGGACATCGAGTTCCATAGAGTCACCATCCTCTGGTTGAAGAAATTTTCCAGATTGTTGAGTAAATGCTAATGTTGTGACCGTACTGGAACAGCTTGGCTAGGGGAGTGGCAAGTTCTGAAGCATAAGTCATCAGTACAATTTTCAGAACATTGTCAGGGCTCACAGACTTTGCAGGATCCAGTGCTCTTGATATCACATGAATTTAAAAGCTGAAGGATTGGACAAATGCATGGCAGATGCAGCATAAAATGTGGATAAATGTGACGTTATCCAATTTGGTAGCAAAAATAGAAGGCAGAATATTATTTGATTAGCTGTATATTGAGAGAGTGGGATACACAATGAGATCTGGATATCTTTGTGCTGAAAGCAAGCAGGCACAGCGGGCAGTAAAGAAGGCCAACTGTACATTGGCTTTCGTTGCAAGAGGTTTTGAGTAAAGTAGAAAGGATGTCTCGCCTAGTTAAGGCCACACCTGGAATATTGTGTGTAGCTTTGGTCTCCTCGTCTAAGGAAGGATGTTTTTACTATAGATAGAGTGCAGTGAAGGTTTACCAAATTGATTCCTGGGATGGCAGGACAGACGTATGAGGAGAGATTGTGTATGTTAGGATTATATTCACTGGAGTTTAGAAGAATGAGGGGGTATCTCATAGAAGCCTATAAAATTCTAAGAGCTTAACTATGCCCCTCATGATTTTATAAACCTCTACAAGGCCAACACTCTACCTCCTACACTTCAGTGAAAAAAGTCCCACTCAAACCAGGCTCTCCTTATAACTCAAACCCTCCAGTCCCAGTAACATCCCTGTAAATCTTTTCTGGACCCTCTCCAATTTAATCATAGCCTTCCTATAGCAGTGCAACCAGAACTGTGCTCAATACTCGAAAAGAGGCCTCACCAGCATCCTGTACAACCTCAACATGATGTCGCAACTCCTACACTCAAAGGTCTGAGCAATGAAGGCAAGTATGCCAAACGCCTTCTTTACCATCTTGTCTACCTACAACTTTTAATGAATTATGTATCTAAACCCCTAGTTCTGTTGCACAACACTCCCCAGGGACCTAGCATTAACTGTGTAAGTCCTGCCTTTTTCATCTTACCAAAATGCAATATCTTGCATTTACCTAAATTAAATGTCACCTGCCATTCTTATTGGCCCAACTGAAGATCTCTTTGTAATTATAATCTCAGCAATAACCTGCTCAATGATGCCCAGTTTGGTTTCTACCAGGGCCACTCAGCTCTTGCCCTCTTTACAGCCTTGATTCAGACATGGACAAAAAAGCTGAATTCCAGACAAAAACCAAAAGTACTGCTGATGTTGTAATTTAGAAACAAAAACAGAAATTGCTGGAAAAGCTCAGCAGGTCTGGCAGCACTCATGAAGAGAAATTGAAGTTAATGTTTCAGGTCTGGTGACCCTTCTTCAGAACTGATGGTAGCTAGAAAAATGTTGGTGTATATTGCGGAAGATGGGAGTGTGCGGGGGTGGGGGAAAGGAGGTAAGGAGTCAATGATAGGTGGGGATAGAGCTCAAAAGAGAGATGCACAGTTGGACAAACAAAGGAATATAATGACCTGCTTGGGAGGGTGAGTAGCTGTTAATGGAGACTGCTAGTGGCTAACAGTAGATAGTGTGTAATGGCAGACTGAGTTGAGAGTTTTAGCCTTTAACATCAAGCCTGCATTCAACTGAGTTTGGCATCAAGGGCCGTAGCAAAATTGGAATCAATGGCTACCAGGGAGAAAACTCTCCGGTGATCGGAGTCATTCCTGGCAAATAGGAAGATGGTTGTGGTTGTTGGAGGTCAATCATCTCAGCTCCAGGACATCTCTGCAGGAGTTCTTCAGGGTAGTGTCCTAGGCCCAACCATCTTCATCAATGACCTTCCCTTCATCATAAGATCAGAAGTGGGAATGTTCGCTGATGATTGAACAATGTTTAGCACCATTTGCAACTCTTCAGAATACTGAAGTATTCCATGTTCAAAAGCATCAATATCCAGGCTTGATTTGGCAAGTAACATTCATGCCACACAGGTTCCAGGCTATGACCATCACCAATAAGAGACAATCTAACCACTGCCCCTTGACATTCAATGGTGTGAGCATCACTGAATCTCCCCACTATCAACATCCTGGGGGTTACCATTGACCAGACACTCATCTGGACTTACTACATAAGCAGTGACTACAAGAGCAGATCAGAGACTAGGAATACTGCAGCGAGTAACTCACCTCCTGACTCCCCAAAGCCTGTCCACTATCTAAAAGGTACAAGTCAGGGGTGTGATGGAATACTCCCCACTTGCCTGGATGGGTGCAGCTCCAACAACACTCAAGAAACTTGACACCATCTAGGACAAAGCAGCCCACTCAATGGGCACTGGATTCACATCCACTTGCCCCCACTATCAACGCTCAGTAGCAACAGTGTGCACGATCTGCAAGATGCACTGCAGAAATTAACCAAATATCCTCAGATAGCACCTTCCAACCCACAACCACTTCCATCTAGAAGGTCAAAGGCATCAGACATATGGGAACACCACCACCTCCAAGTTCCCCTCCAAGCCACTCACCATCCTGACTTGGAAACATATTGCCGTTCCTTCACTGTCGCTGGGTCAAAATCCTGGAATTCCCTGCCTCATGGCATCACGGGTCAACCCACAGCAGATGGGCTACAGCAGTTCAAGAAGGCAGCTCACCATCACGTTTTCAGGGGTAACTAGGGATGAACAATAAATGCTGGCCAGCCAGCATCGCCTGCACCCTACAAATGAGTGAAAAAACCTTCCTCACTGTCTACTATACCAGCTATTTTGGTGTCATCTGCAAACTTACTACCCATGTTTCTTATAATTTCATCCAAATTGATTATCATGATGGCTAGTTTTGGGTTGTTATCTCCAGGAAACCATAAGTGACTTGTATAGTTTGTTCACTGTTTTCCCAGCCTGGCTGCATGCCCACCTGCCCTTGAGTTAATAAAATCTGTGACAGGATGAGGCCTTTAATTGAACATGAATTTCCCACTTAAAAGGCTTTGCTTATCAGCAAGACAGAAATGTCATACATCCAAAACAATTTCACTCAATCAAATACCTTGCCTCCCTTCAAACATGTCACTGCGGACATGAAGAGGAGAAGTAAAATTTGAAAAAATAAGATTGAGACTGGAATTTCGCCAATAAAAAAGGAAAGAAGATTACAAGAAAGAGAAAGAGAATTCCAATTGAAACAGCTTGAATGGAAAAGGGAGCACTCCAATAAAGAGATAATAGCAACTGCTGATGCTGGAGAATCTGAGATAACAAGATGTAGAGCTGGATGAACACAGCAGGCCAAGCAGCATCAGAGAAGCAGGAAAGTTGATGTTTCAGGTCTAGACCGTTCTTCAGAAGAAAAAAATGATGATTTTTTTTCTGAAGAAGAGTCTAGACCCGAAACGTCAGCTTTCCTGCTCCTCTGTCACTCCAATAAAGCTTGCTTGGGGAAGGAAACCACATTGAACTCAGACTTAAGAACTGAAGTGTTCACATTACACACAAGCATATGAATTATGAGCAGATGAGGCTGCTCCACCATTCAATGGCTGATTCATTTATATTTTAATTTCCATATTCCCATTTATCCAGATATCTTTTGATTTCCCTGCTTAAAATAATCTATCCATCTATGCCTTCAGAGGTAGAGTTCCAAAGTTACACAACCTTCTGAGAAAAAAAATCTAGGCTATAATTACCAATCTGAATTTCAGCTTATTTGTAGATTAAACATCACTCATGACCATTGCTGTCCCATTATTAGTTGCATTCAATCTTTGTTTTTTCTATACTGTTTGCTACACCATGGTTACTGTTCCCACTAATGATTTCTTTCCCTGAAGTACCGAGATGTTTTCCAGGAAGAACTAGGAAAATTAAATGTAAGAATTCAGGTGAGCCCAGAAGCCACCCCAGATTTTGCAGAGCTAAGCCTCCGTCCAATTTATTATTGGAAAAGATTGGAACAGAGCTGAAAAGGCTGAAAGACCTTAGCATCATCCAGTGCTATTTACAGAATTGTCAGTGCCCACTGTGCCAGTGATATTGAAGAAAGT